TTTCTCTGTACTTTCTCTTTATTAATCAACTTTTTATTGCTTCACTGTGTGATACTTCTACAAAGTTTATTAGCTTTGTAAACTACTTATAGGCTAACTTATGTATGTATATACTTATGTAATATATACTACATTCAGTACCTATATAATATGTAATGTATAGCTAATGCTTATGTAAAATGTTCTGTATAACTATTTTTCAGATAACGCATAAATGTAATCTATACAAGGGGTCTTCCTAAGAGAGTTGTACTCCCGGACGGCCCAGCCAGGTATCATTATGTGTATTATTATTATTATTATTATTTTTTTTTTTTTTTTTTTTTTTTTTTTTTTTTTTTTTTTTTTTTACTTCAGTGTAATTACTGTTTTATGGCTAAATAAACGTTTTGATTCTGATTCTGATTCTTTGGCGACCTCGACCATGAGGTGAATATACCAATAATAATCCCTTTCTGATTCCTCATTTTCTTCCTCACTAACGGTCACCTCATACTAACTTCTATTCACTCATGAACATCACACTTACAATCTCCAACTACTGTACCCTTTTTAACTAATCTCACATTACAATTTCCTTAATAAATGTAATATAATGCAGATATCCATTAATCAACTAAATGTTAAGATGCTCGTTAGTAGCCCAACCTTGAGCAGTATTTAACAGCTAACGAAACCTCCTGAGCAACTAACCCCCTTGTTAGTATCTACTAACTTACTAACTTAACAAAGAAAGATGATAATGCATGTTCATCTTCACTAACTAACGCTGTTTCATGGGCAACATAATGTTAGATTGGTTTGTCATGACTAACGAAACTTCACATGCAACATAACTTCATCACGACCCAACTCATACTAACCAACGGCATCCTCTAACCCACCTCATCAACGTAACCTCATACTTACCTCAACCTAGTCGACCGCAACCTCATCTCATACTTACCTCATCGAACGCAACCTCATACTCACCTCCCTGCATACAATCCTCAATTATGAGGGATTTACCCTCATACGGTTATACCCTATAAAGTATAACCTCCTACCTCATACTCCCCTCATCGACCGCAACCTCATACACACCTCATACTTCCCTCATACCCCCCTCATCGACCGCAACTTCATACTCCCCTCATCGACCGCAACCTCATACTCCCTCATCGACCGCAACCTCATACTCCCTCATCGACAGCAACCTCATACTCCCTCATCGACCGCAACCTCATACTCCCCTCATCGACAGTAACCTCATACTCCCCTCATCGACCGCAACCTCATACTTCTCCCTCATACTCCCTCATCGCAACCTCATACTTCCCTCATACCCCCCTCATCGACCGCAACCTCATACCTCATCGACTAACCTCATACTCCCTCATCGACCGCAACCTCATACTCCCTCATCAACCTCATACTCCCTCATCACCGCAACCTCATACTCCCCTCATCGGACATAACCTCATACTCCCCTCATCGACCCAACCCACTCTCTCATACTCCCTCATCGACCTCAACTCATACTCCCGCATACTCTTCGACCGCAACCTCATACTCCCCTCATCGACCGCAACCTCATACTCCCTCATACTCCCTCATCGACCGCAACCTCATACTCCCCTCATCGACCGCAACCTCATACTCCCCTCATACTCCCCTCATCGACCGCAACCTCATACTCCCCTCATATTCCCCTCATCACCGCAACCTTCATACTCCCTTCTTCATCATACTCCGCTCCGACCGCAACCTCATACTCCCTCATCGACCGCAACCTCATACTCCCCTCATACTCTCACGACCGCAACCCATACTCCCCTCATCGACCGCAACCTCATACTCCCCTCATACTCCCTCAATCGACCGCAACCTCATACTCCCCTCATCGACCGCAACCTCATACTCCCCTCATATCATCGACCGCAACCTCATACGTCCCCTCAACTCCCCTCATCGACCCAACCTCATACTCCCTCATACTCCCCTATCGACCGCAACCCTCATACTCCCCTCATCGACCGCAACCTCAATACCTCATACTCCCCTCATTCCCCGCAACCTCATACTCCCCTCATACTCCTCATCGAACCGCAACCCTCTACTCCCCTCATACTCCCTTCATCGACCGCAACCTCATACTCCCTCATACTCCCCTCATCTACTCCCTTCATCGACCGCAACCTCATACTCCCCTCATCGACCGCATAACCCCTCATCACCGCAAACCTCATACTCCCCTCATACTCCTCTTTTCATCACCCAACCTCAACTCCCCTTCCCCTTCAACATTACTCCCCCATTACTCCCCTCATACTCCCCTCATCGACCGCAACCTCCAATACTCCCTCATACTCCCCTCATACTCCCCTCATCGACAGCAACCTCATACTCCCCTCATACTCCCCTAATCAAGCAACCTCCCTTCCCCTCAATTACCTCATACTCCCCTATCAACAGCAACCTCATACTCCCCTCATCGACCGCAACCTCATACTCCCCTCATACTCCCCTCATACTCCCTTCATAGACCGCAACCTCATACTCCCCTCTCAACCTCATACCCCCATACTCCCCTCATACTCCCTTCATCGACCGCAACCTCATACTCCCCTCATACTCCCCTCATCGACAGCAACCTCAACTTTCCCCTCATACTCCCCTTCATCGACCGCAACCTCATTACCCCCTCTATACTCCCCTCATCGGACTCCCTCATCGACACAACCTCATACTCCCCTCATCGACGCAACCTCATACTCCCTCATCGACCGCAACCTCATACTCCCTCATCGACCGCAACCTCATACTCCCCTCATAGTCCCTCATCCGAGCTGCTCCGCCTCACTGCCCCGACCCGCCCGCTCGGTTCCGCCGGCCGAGGCAACGAAGGTCAGCGATCAACCTCTCCGCCTCATTTATCTCTCTCTCCACCTCTTCCTCTTTTAGTTTCCTTCCTTTCCTATCCCCTCATTGTCCGCATACCTCATATCCTCCGCCCTCAACTCCCCTCATCACTCGCATCTCATACTCCCTCATCGACCGCAACCTCATACTCCCTCATCGACCGCAACCTCATACTCCCTCATCGACCGCAACCTCATACTCCCCTCATACTCCCCTCATCGACCTATACTCCCCTCATACTCCCTCATCGACCGCAACCTCTACTCCCCTCATAGTCCCTCATCCGAGCTGCTCCGCCTCACTGCCCCGACCCCGCCCGCTCGGTTCCGCCGGCCGAGGCAACGAAGGTCAGCGATCAACCTCTCCGCCTCATTTATCTCTCTCTCCACCTCTTCCTCTTTTATTTTCCTTCCTTTCCTACCCCCTCATTCTCCGCAACCTTCACTCTTTCCCTCATCGACCGCAACCTCATACTCCCCCCTATACTCCCCTCATCGACCGCAACCTCATACCTACCCCCTCATCACCCGCAACCTCAACTCCCCTCTCGACCCGCATACCTCCATACTCCCTCATCAACCTCATACTCCCTCATCGACCGCAACCTCATACTCCCCTCATCGACCGCAACCTCATACTCCCCTCATACTCCCTTCATCGACCGCAACCACATACTCCCCTCATAGTCCCTCATCCGAGCTGCTCCGCCTCATTGCCCCGACCCGCCCGCTCGGTTCCGCCGGCCGAGGCAACGAAGGTCAGCGATCAACCTCTCCGCCTTCATTTTATCTCTCTCTCCACCTCTTCTCTTTATTTTTCCTTCCTTTCCTATCCCCTCATTCTTCCGCAACTCATACTCCCCCCCATCGACCGCAACCTCATAACTCCCTCATACCTCATACCCCTCATAGTCCCTCATCCGAGCTCTCCGCCTCACTGCCCCGACCCGCCCCTCGGTTCCGCCGGCCGAGGCATATCGATTCACGAATCAACCTCTCCGCATCTCTCTCTCCACCTCTTCCCTTTTAAATCAACCTCATACTCCCTCATCGACCGCAACCTCATACTCCCCTCATACTCCCTCATCAAACCCTCATCTCATACTCCTCATTCACCTCAACCTCAACTCCCTCATACTCCCCTCATCCCCCTCATCACCGCAACCTCATACTCCCCTCATCGACCGCAACCTCATACTCCCTCATCGGACCGCAACTCATACCCCTCATCGCTCCTCTTCCCCTCATAGACCCTCATCCAGCTCTCCCCTCCACGCCCGACCCGACGAGCAACGTCAGCCGAACAACCTCTCCCCTCATTATCTCTCCTCCACTCTCCCTTTATCCTCCTTTCCATCCCCTCATTTTCCCAACCTCATTACTCCCCTCACCGACCGCAACTCTCATATCCCTCATCACCTCAACCCTCATAGCCCTCATAACCGCAACCTCATATCCCCTCATACCTCACCACTCTCCGCCTCACTCCCCGACCGCCCTCGCCCCACAGCAACGTCAGCGATCAACCTCTCCGCCTCATTTATCTCTCTCCACCTCTTCCCTCTCTTATTTCCCTTCCTTTCCTGTCCCCTCATTCTTCCGCAACCATTCATGCTCCCTCATCGACCCACCTCATACTCCCCTCATACTCCTTCCATCGACCGCAACCTCATACTCCCCCTCATACTCCCTCATCGACCCAACCTCATACCCCCCATCGACCCAAACCTCATACTCCCCTCAGAGCCCCTCATCCGAGCTGCCCCTCACTGCCCCGAACCCGGCCCGCTCGTCCGCCGGCCGAGCAACGAAGGTCACAATCAAACCTCTCCGCCCCATTTATCTCCTCTCTCCACCTCTTCCTCTTTATTTTCCTATCCTCCTATCCCCTCATCGACCGCAACCTCATGCTCCCTCATCGACCGCAACCTCATACTCCCCTCATGACATCCCCTCATCACCGCAACCTCATACTCCCCTCACGACCCAACCTCAACTCCCCTCATACTCCCTCATCGACCTCAACCTCATACTCCCCTCATACTCCCCCTCATCGACCGCAACTCATACTCCCCTCATCACCCCCTCATACTCCCCCTCATGTCCCTCATCCGGAAGCTGCTCCGCCTCACTGCCCCGACCCGCCCGCTCGGTTCCGCCGCCGAGGCAACGAAGTCAGCGATCAACCTCTCCCCTCATTTATCTCTCTCTCCACCTCTTCCTCTTTTAGTTTCCTTCCTCCCATACTCTCATTCTTCCGCAAACCTCATCTCCCATTCGACCGCAACCCATACCCCCATCCGACCCAACCTCCTCCTCATCACGCGCAACCTCATACTCCCCTCACACGCAACCTCATACGGACCGCCAACCTCATACCCCCTCATATCCCTCACCTGCTCCGCCTCACTGCCCCGACCCGCCCGCCGGTTCGGCCCCGACAACGAAGTCAGCGATCAACCCTCTCGCCTCATTATCCTCTCTCCACCTCTTCCTCTTTATTTCCTTCCTTCCCTTCCCCTCATTCTTCCGCAACCTCATGCTCCCTCTCGACCGCAACCTCATACTCCCTCATCGACCGCAACCCTCAACTATCCCCCTCATACCCCTCATCGACCGCAACCTCATACTCCCCTCATAGTCCCTCATCCGAGCTCTCCGCCTCACTGCCCCCGACCCGCCCGCTCGTTCCGCCCAGGCAACGAAGGTCAGCGATCAAACCTCTCCCGCCTCATTTATCTCTCTCTCCACCTCTTCCTCTTTTATTTCCTTCCTTCCCTATCCCCTCATTCTTCCGCACCCAGCTCCCTCATCACCGCAAACCTCATACTCCCCTCATCGACCGCAACCTCATACCCCTCATCGACCCAACCTCATACTCCCCATCGACCGCAACCTCAACCCCTATCACCGCAACCTCATACTCCCTCATCGACCCGCCAACCTCAACACCCTCATCGACCCGCAACCTCATACTCCCCCATCGACCGCAACCTCATACTCCCCTCATAGTCCCCTCATCGACCGCAACCTCATACTCCCCTCATAGTCCTCATCCGAGCTGCTCCGCCTCACTGCCCCGACCCGCCCCGCTCGGTTCCCGGCCGAGGCAACGAAGGTCAGCGATCAACCTCTCCGCCTCATTTATCTCTCTCTCCCACCTCTTCCTCTTTTATTTTCCTTCCTTTTTAACCCTCATACTCCCCTCACGACCGCAACCTCATACTCCTCATCCCCTCATATCCCGACCGCAACCTCCCTCATACTCCCTCATCGAACCACCTCAACTCCCTCATCACCGCACCTCATACTCCCTCATCGACCGCAGCCTCAACTCCCCTCATCGACCGCAACCTCATAACCCCTCATACCCTCATCGACCGCAGCCTCATACTCCCTCATCGACCGCAACCTCATACTCCCCTCATACTCCCTCAATACCGCACCTCATACTCCCCTTCATCGACCGCGCACATACCTCATCGACCGCTCCCTCTCATCATCGACCGCCACCTCATACCCCTCATACCCCCTCATATGGACGCAACCTCATACTCCCCTCATAGTCCCTCATCCGGAGCTGCCGCCTCACTGCCCCGACCCGCCCGCTCGTTCCGCCGCGAGCAACGAAGGTCAGCGATCAACCTCTCCGCCTCTTTATCTCTCTCTCCACCTCTTCCTCTTTTAGTTTCCTTCCTTTCCTATCCCCTCATTCTTCCGCAACCTCATACTCCCCCCATCGGCACCGCAACCTCATACTCCCTCATAGTCCCTCATCCGAGCTGCTCCGCCTCACTGCCCCGACCCGCCCGCTCGGTTCCGCCGGCCGAGGCAACGAAGGTCAGCGATCAACCTCTCCGCCTCATTTATCTCTCTCTCCACCTCTTCCTCTTTTATTTTCCTTCCTTCCCTATCCCCTCATTCTTCCGCAACCTCATGCTCCCTCATCGACCGCAACCTCATACCCCCTCATCGACCGCAACCTCATACTCCCCTCATACTCCCTCATCGACCGCAGCCTCATACTCCCCTCATCGACCGCAACCTCATATCCCTCAACTCCTCATCGACCGCAGCCTATACCCCCTCATCGAGCTCCCTCATCGACCGAACCTCATACTCCCCTCATACCCCCTCATGGACCGCAACCTCATACTCCCCTCAAGTCCCTCATCCGAGCTGCTCCGCCTCACTGCCCCGACCGCCGCTCGGTTCCGCCGCCCGAGGCAACCGAAGTCACGATCAACCTCTCCGCCCATTTATCTCTCTCTCACCTCTTCCTCTTTATTTTCCTTCCTTTCCTATACCCTCATACTCCCTCAATCGACCCCAACCTCATCTCCCTCAATCGACCGCAACCTCATACTTCTCCCCTCATACGACCCAACCTCATACTCCCCTCATAGCCTCATCCAGCTTGCTCCGCCTCACTGCCCCGACCCGCCCCGCTCGGTTCCGCCGGCCGAGGCAACGAAGTCAGCGATCAAACCTCTCCGCCTCATTTATCTCTCTCTCTCCGCCTCTTCCTCTTTTATTTCCTTCCTTTCCTGTCCCCTCATTCTTCCGCAACCTCATCTCCCCTCATAATCCCCGCAACCTCATGCTCCCCTTATCACCGCAACCTTCATACTTCCCCTCATTCGACCGTCTAACCTCATACTCCCTCATTCGACCGCAACCTCATACTCCCCTCATAGTCCCCTCATCGACTTCTCCGCCTCACTGCCCCGACCCGCCCGCTCGGTTCCGCCGGCCGAGGCAACGAAGGTCAGCGATCAACCTCTCCGCCTCATTTATCTCTCTCTCCACCTCTTCCTCTTTTATTCCTTCCTCCCTATACCTCAATTCTTCCGCAACCTCATGCTCCCTCATCGACCAACCTCATACTCCCCTCATACTCCCCCATCGACCGCAACCTCATACCCCCCTCATACTCCCCTCATAGTCCCTCATCCGAGCTGCTCTGCATCATGCCCCGACCCGCCCGCTCTCCCGCCCCGAGCAACGAAGGTCAGCGATCAACCTCTCCGCCTCATTTATCTCTCTCTCCACCTCTTCCTCTTTATATTTCCCTTCCTTCCTGTCCCCCATTCCTTCCGCAACCTCACCCTCATACTCCCTCATCGACCGCAACCTCATGCTCCCTATCGACCCAACTCATACTCCCCTCATCGACCGCAACCTCATACTCCCCTCATCGACCGCAACCTCATACTCCCCTCATAGTCCCTCATCCGAGCTGCCGCCTCACTGCCCCGACCCGCCCGCTCGGTTCCGCCGGCCGAGGCAACGAAGGTCAGCGATCAACCTCTCCGCCTCATTTATCTCTTCTCCACCTCTTCCTCTTTTATTTTCCTTCCTTCCTATTACCCTCATACCCCCTCACTCATCGACCGCAACCTCATACTCCCGCTCCATCGACCGCCAACTCATACTCCCCTCATACTTCCCCTCATCGACCGCAACCCATACTCCCCTCATAGTCCCCTCCATCCGAGCTGCTCCGCCTCACTGCCCCGACCCGCCCGCTCGGTTCCGCCGGCCGAGGCAACGAAGGTCAGCGATCAACCTCTCCGCCTCATTTATCTCTCTCTCCACCTCTTCCTCTTTTATTTTCCTTCCTTCCCTATACCCTCATTCTTCCGCAACCTCATGCTCCCTCATCGACCGCAACCTCATACTCCCCTCATACTACCCCCCATCGACCGCAACATCATACTCCCTCTCATAACTCCCCTCATCAACCGCAACCTCATACTCCCCTCATACTCCCCTCATAGTCCCTCATCGAGCTGCCTCCGCCTCACTGCCCCGAACCCGCCCGCTCGTTCCGCCGCCGAGCAACAAGGTCACGATCAACCCGCCGCCTCATTTAATCTCTCTCTCCACCTCTTCCTCTTTTAGTTTCTCTTCCTTCCCTATCCCCTCATTCTTCCGCAACCTCATGCTCCCTCAATCGACTGGAAACCCATACTCCCTCATCGACCCAACCTTCAAACTCCCCTCATTCACCGCAACCTCATACTTCCCTCTCATCGACCGCCAACCTCTTACCCCCTCATCGAACCGCAAAACCTCATACTCCCCTCATCGACCGCAACCTCATACTCCCCTCAGCGACCGGCAAAAATCCTCATACTCCCCTCATCGACCCAACCCATACTCCCTCATCGACCGCAACCTCATACTCCCCTCATCGACCGCAATCCTCACACTCCCCTCATTCACCGCAACCTCATACTCCCTCATTCGACCCAACCTCAACCCCCTTCATAAGTCCCCTCATCGCCGGCAACCTCATACTCCCCTTCATATCCCGCATCGAGCTGCTCCGCCTCACTGCCCCGACCGCGCCCTCGTTCCGCCGCCGAAGCAAACCGAAGTCACGATTCAACCTCTCCGCCTCATTTATCTCTCTCTCCACCTCTTCCTCTTTTAGTTTCCTTCCTTCCCATACCCTCATTCTCCGCAACCTCATGCTCCCTCTCGACCCAACCTCATACTCCCCTCATACTCCCCTCATTCGACCGCAACCTCATACTCCCCTCATCGACCGCAACCTCATACTCCCT